ACACTTTTAGGCTGACCAGATGGGCCATCTCACAGGGCTTACCTTCTATAATTCTGATTTATTGCATTCAGATGATTTTTTTTCCTACTTAGGCAGTCAGGGTTTTACTTTGCCAGAAGACACCAGAAATTTTAATATTGTCCATTAATTATAAGTTGGTAAACTGTAAGGCAATATATTAATATGCTTGTAACCATGAGACAAGGCACAGTGATTAAAATTAATTCCTAGTTACAATTTGTTAATTTATTATAATTAATTAACCTGTTAAGTCAAAATATGTTTACATTATGACAGTATAGTAGATTCTTTAACTTGCTTCCTTAACTTAATTTTATTTCCGTTGTTCTAAATGTAGAAATCTAGAAAGAGATACTTTATTATTAAAAGAAATAAGACATTATAAGACTTATTTTATAATTCAAAGAAATAAAAAATATATAAGGATTTCTAAGTGATACCACTAAGTGGACTACATTGGATTCTTTGTACATTAAATAGTTACATCTTATTAAAAAAATGTAAGAGTTAGACCTAAGGAGTTTCAGCAATGATCTCTCCTGGTTTCTACTGTATGTGGTTCAATACCAGAATTAGGAAATACCATTTAACAAACATCAGCCAATATTTACTTTCATAACACGATTTTAAGTAATACCAACTCTAACTTTTGAAAGATTTCAATTCAATTTCAATTGTCCTCATTTTCCTCCTCCTCCAAAATATTTTAATGATGTCTATACAATCATAATTTCTCTTTGTACTTTTATCAACTTGCAACTGAATGAAGCCACTCTTTATTAAATGTAGCTTTAGAGTAAGTAAGAACAAAATGATTATTTATATAGCTTTTATTCTATAGCATCAGAAAATAAGAAACCAACTTTGTGTTCTCAAATAAGATCTGATGATGTATTTGTCAGACTAGTCAGAATCACTTTGATTGTGTTTTAGAGATGGTACCTCATGAATATTAAAATTAGTAACAATATTTTCTTATAATTGAATTAATGTTTAGATTTCATTATTTTAACTAGCATGGTAAAATTCAGTTTTCTTATGATTTTAGGTTTTCTGTTTCTACCAAGATACTTTATTCATGAGACATTCTATAAAATAATTTAGTGTTTGTGGACAAGTTATACATAGGAACAACAACTTTGACATCAATGGTATTATTATTCTGTTTTATAAATGAAGAAGCTGAGACAGACATGCCTGGAGTCCCAGCTACTCAAGAGGCAGGGATAAGGAAGATTCAGTTTTCAAAGGCAGAAAGTTGGTGAGACCCCTGCATCTCAATGAACTCATGATGGTGTACATCTGTAATCCCAGCCATGGGGAAGCATAGGTAGGAGGATCTCAGTGTGAAGCCAGTCCAGGCAAAAAGCAAAAGACCCTATCTGAAAAATAACCTAAAGTAAAAAAGGCTGGAGTTGTGGTCTGCATGGGTAGAGCCTGAATTTAAACCCTAGTACCAAGTAGTTTGTACTTGTAAAAACTTGTAAATGCCACAATGTATCCCTATACAGCAGAACAATAAAGGAAAAAAAAAGGAGGAAGTTGAGATTCTGGATAATTAAGTTAAAAAACTTTAAAACCAGTTTGCTAATGGTCCTAGCACTATAATTCCCCCGCCCCCTAGTTTGTTATTAGGTCTGTTACGAAGCAATTAGTCTCAGACTAATTCTATGTATGAAATACTCATTTAATTAGCATCTGTTCCCAAGTGTTATGAACACAGGCATTGCAATATTGAGAAAAGCTGCTTGAATGAGAAACAAAGAGCTGTATTACACTGTGTTGAGTGGGCATGAAATGATGGAATTTGTCCAGTACTAGCTTATAAACTTGTTGGCATTCACCTTAAATAGCATGAGTGCAGACACTGTGTCCCCTGGGTCCTCACGTCCCCTGATTTGTTGCGCATCTGTGGAGATCCATACAATTGATTTTGATATATGTGCTTAAGTCGATGGACTGGATTCTTGAGAGAGGTGTATTTCCTTCTGTAGCTTGCTTGGTCACACAGGGCCATAAGGAGGAAGGGTAAGGAATTTATTTAAGACTATTTCTCCTTCTCTATGTTTTATTAGGTAAAATTAGTCTCAAAGGCCGTGTCTTTATTACTCCACATATCTGTGTTGTAGTGCAATGGATTGAATGTTTGTATCGCCTCATAATTCATATGTTGGAGCCCTAGTTCCCAGTATGAGGGTATGTGGAGATGGGGCCTTTGGGAGCTAGTTAGGTCATAAGGGAGACCCCTCATACTGGGATTACTGCATGCATAAGAAGAGATAGCGAGCTTGCAGTGAGAAGACGGCTATCTAAAAACCAGGAAGAGTACCTTTTCTTGACACTACATCAGCTGGCTCCTCAGTCAGGGACTTCACAGCTTCAGAACAATCAGAAATGAGTGCTGTGGTATTAGCTCCAGCAGTCTGAACCAGCATGCTGCGTTTGTTCTCTTCAAGTGTTTTCTTGTAAAAATCTAAAAATCTTAGTGAGTACTTTTCTTCTAATAGTGTGTTTATTCATTATGTTATGAGTAAGGTATTCTAATCATTTTAGGTACATTATTTCAGGTGACTATCAATGCATCCTTATGAAGTAGATTTTATTATTCCTATTTCAGAGTAAGAAATTTAGTCTCTGTTACAACTGGTAAGAGAGATAGGTTTGGGATTTAAATTCAGGCATAATAATTCTAATCTTGAGCTTAACTCTAACCATTGTATCACCAATGTCTGGAAACATTCTTACAACAGGTGCTCACTAAAATTTTGTTCATTGATTATTTATTACATTAAGTGTTTCAGGTGCTTGGAATACATTGGTGTACACAAAAGATAATTTTCCTCATCTTTGTGGAATTTACATTCTGCCTGCTTCTGATTTGAGTGTTAGTTTTTACATCAATACCTAATGTAATGTTGTCATACTCTTTCCTTTCTGTCCCATCTCCCACATATGACAAAGAATGCCTTGTTTTCCAAAGGTCCATATGTGAAGAGTTGGGTCCTCAGGGTGGTTCTATTGGAAGGAATGTGGACAGACAGGTGGTGGAGCTAGTTCCAGGTCCTTACGTCATTATGGGTATGCCATGTAAAGAATGTGGGATCCTAGACTCTCTCTGCTTCTATTTGAGATATGTGACTATTCTGTTCCTACATGCTCTCCCTCCATAATGTGCCATTCTCGCCAAAGGCCAAAATAATGGTACTGCCAAATATTGGACTCAGACCCCCCAAAGCCTTTTTTCTGTAAAGGTAGTATTTCTATAGTCTGGTATTTTGCTGTAGTAATGCAAAATGACTAATACAAGATGGGCTATGATGTCAAATTTTAAATTCTTTTCATTGCTCAATCTTGTAACAAAAGAATCCCTGTGCTTTCACCCCTCTATTTAATAAAGACTTCGCTAGTCTATGGACTCTTCCTACCAAAATTCATCCTTGACAATGTTCTTTTTAAGTGATGTCTCTGATCATATCAGTTTTTTTTCTGTAAAGTCTTTTAAAGGTTTTAATTTTTATTCAATTTATTACATGGCTGACATCTTTCTTTTCTATCTTGATTGGCCACTGGATCCCCTCATATTCTCCTACTTTGACTAAACACATCTCAGCAAGAATTACCTAATGTCTACACAAGTAATGCTTTTCTCTATCTTTACCAGATGTCAAAATATACCATTCCTCTTTCAAGGAGGCTCAAACTGTGATTTCATTGATTTGCTGTGACCTGTGAGGTTTCTTCCTATACAACAGGGGAAGAAAGTGAAAGACTGTTAAGTGACTTGTTCACGGTCACATGCCTTATTTAATAGAGTTGGAATCTGAATATAAGCTGTTTACTTCTGGAGAGTAAGTTATTATTATCCAACATTGACACTCTTAATTATAACATTAATAGCCTAAAAAGCAACACATAAAGAACTTTCTTTATAAGGAAAAGATGACTTTTAATTGGAGATTTTATTTATGTGTTTTAAGTAATGATGATACATCTTTATTGGTTATTATGTTCATGACTTTGGGTAACTTACAAAATTCTCTGTGCCTGTTTCTTTTCCTTTAAAAAAAGAGTTAATTGGTGTAGATCAAATCTGATAATACAACAATTCTCTATATAAAACGTTAGTTCCTGTATTAACTGCATTTTGTGTTCTTGGTTACCAAGAATTTGACCTAGTTTTTAAATATCCTATAAATTTATAGTGAAATATTAAGAGGAATGACTTAGCAGGAGAGCCATATGTGTGATGAGCTTGCTGTGTCCTCAGGCATTTTCCTTTTTGAGTCTCAGTGATTTCAAAGTGGAATGTACCTTCCTGTATCCAGAGCTATGCTGACCTTGAGGGAAGTCAAGATATTCAGTTAGAGTAATAGAATGCTATAATCCTGTTTCCATTGAAATTTTTACCAAATGGAATGTTTGAACATACCTTATGAAATGTCTCAAGAATTATTTCTTAAACTTACATCTAAAAATGTATTGTAAAAGCATTTTTCTTTAACAATAAAATTATTACCACATTTGTTTAATCTTCTAGTTTATGCCTTTTGAAAACTCAGTAATTTTCTTTCTATTATATGTTTATTTTTTGCCTTAAGTCTTGATTTTTTTTGTTCATTATTCCGTAGTGTTTGATCATTTTATTTCATGAGATTACTTATGCCATTTAATATGGATTAGAGTTTCCCTATGCCAAGAACCAGAGCTTCCGATATGTGGAACAGATTATAAAATCATTCTTCTTACAGGTTTTAAACAATTTACATAGGGCACTCTGTCAGACCTGTGGATCCTGGTATGTTTGTTAAGGTTAGTATTTTAAGTACTTTGATACAGTTGCCAGTGTTTAAGGAAAGTTAATAGAAAAATCTGAAAATTTTCTGTTTTAAAATAGTTATCCGATTGGGTAAAATACACTTGGCAACTCTGAGCTGTAGTTATCGAGTAGGGGCTTCAGCTGTTAGATGGGGTGTGTATTCTCTATCTCAACAGAATTTGTTTTTCTCTGTTGTTCTCAATACTCTGTGGCCAGCTTCACCAATCATTCTTTCATTATCTTGTTTGCACTTTTCATGTTTCTCATGTGGGATCAGCTCCTGATATTTGTGATATCTACCCAGCTCCAGTGGATGATTCAGTTTGTATCTCTGGAAGAAGAACTATCCATAAGACTGGGATTACTTTGGTCGTGATTCTATATTAGTACATTTTGGTCTATCTCATTCTACTCAGTGGCTCTCACATAATTTACTGTTCGGATATTCTACAAGTTTATCCTACCAATTTCCCATTTTTGAATAGGTAGGTCATTTTCTATAGTCTGATATTATATGTAATGCCATAATAAATATCATTGTTCACTTATGTGTTTTTGATTCCTGTGTGATGCTTCTAAAGGGTAAAGTTCTAAAAAAGGAATTGCTTACTTGAAGAGTTATTTAAAAATTTTTATAGCTAATGCTCAATTTTTTTTCTAATTTGTACTCCAACAAGGAATGTTTGAGAATATCTCAAAAAAATATCTTGAGATTCACAAAATCCGGCCACACAGATTTTTTTTTTAGTGGAAAAAAGAATTTTGAAGTTTAGATTTATACTATTTATATATGAATTTGCCATATTTTAATATGTTCTTGGTTGATATGATTTTTGTCTAGATTTCTGTGAAATCTTGGTTTTATGTATTTATAAAATATCATTTTTCATTTTGATATCTCTGTAAATTATTGTGATTTATAAGATCTATTTTTTAAAGACAGAATTATAGATACCACTGTGTTATTGTAAAGCATCCTTTCCTTATTGATTTGAAATGCCCTTGTATCACGTATTCAAGTTCTGTCTCTGTTTAAGATTATTTCAGAAACGCAGTCTTTTCTGTAGACTAGAAAGTATAATGATAACAGTGTTAAGTGACTCTGCTATACAATTCTTCTTTCATTCATCTTCTATTATTTTGTGACCACAAAAATAATTCAGTAAGTTTCACATGCACTAAGTTTCACACTTGTTCAACGATAGTTTATATTTAAATAGTCTATATTCAGCCATATTCTACAATGACTGTGTATTTCTGTTTGTGTTCAATGTTTTAATTGCCAGTATTTTAAAAAATGAGAAATAGTTCAGTTTTCTTCAGGAATAATTCATTAGTTTCACTGACTTAAAACCATTTTAAAATTTGACAGTATTTTAAAAATCCCTTAGATTCAGATAGAAATTTGTCTCTCAACATTCTTTTTCTATTATTTAGTCTCCTTTAATATATTGCAATATGTTCTCTATAAATTTTACATCAAAGTAAATATGTAGAAACAATAATGATGTAGCCAGATGAATTGTCAGAAACCAAACATCACAACACACCCAAATCAATACATCAATATTATGAGTTCCAGATCCTCTTTATTCCTGTTCCAGTAACTGTACCTTCCAGAATAATTACTATACTTACTTCTAACATCACAGACTATTTCTGCTTGCATTAGAATTTTACTTGAATGATTGATGTTTGTGTGCCTTATGACTAGCTTCTATTATTAAACTTATTATTTGTGGGCAAAATCCCATGCAATCCTAGTTTTCAACTCAGTGTTTTTGTCATCTCAGCATTCTTGGGTTAATAGTTCACTGATTTAGGATTGTGTGGTTTTTACTTTGTCTTTTGTTTTTTTATGTGATGTTGCCTTTTTTCTACCTCGCTGTCTGTGGAAATTCTTTGTTTTGAATTTCAATACCTTCATTTAAGGTGTTGAACTAAAATATTATGTATGTCTTTGTTTTCCAAACTTTTCTTAAAACGTGCATGACATCCTCTTTTTAATATATAGAATTATTTTCTTAAGAAAAATTTGTAAATTGTCTTCCATATTTACTTTATTTAGTTTTATTTTTGTGATTCACTAGCCCTCTGTACTTTGATCTTTTTTGTCTATTTGGGATATCACTTCTCTTAAATGTCTCAACTTCTTTGTCCTTTCCTTCTCTATTCATCTTAATTTCCAGTTATTCATTTAATAATTTGCTATTTTTGCAGATTCTACTTTATCGATTATTTTCCAGTGAGGTATTTTGATCTTCCATTTGCTTATTTTGTTCTGAAATCTAAGTTTACTTACTTCTCATTCACATTGTTTTGTCATGCAGTCTCCTAGCACTTATTTTATTGAATTCATTTTTAATTCAGTTATATATAGTGTATAGTATAAAATATTTGTAAAAATGGTTCTTTATTCAGTTATGTAAAGGGGATTTTTCATTAGATTTTTCTCAGATTTTGGGTACTCCCTGTATATTCCCTATCTGGATTCTGTCATCCTCCTGGGTATGAGGAAGTGCTGTTTATTGTGTAGTTCTGGCACCTTCGCTTTGAAGAACACATGCCACATGGTTTACTTCTCTAGTTTTACCAGCTTTTTCCTGCTTTGCTTCTCCCCAGATGCAGGCAGGTTTTTTTTTTTTTTGGTACCATACTGAATTCTGGGGGGACTGGGAGAGGGAGAGGAGCAGCCATGTGCTATTCTTGGTTCTTCTTGGCGATCTTCAGTTTCCTTTCATGGTCACTAGCTTTAGTAATTTGACATGATGTGTGCTTTTGCCATGCTCTGATGTATTAGGGATGTAGGGCAAGGTTAAACAAACTATAGCATGAAGACCCAGCACCTGTGTTTTGTAAATACAGGGTTATTGGAACATAGTCACACCTACTGATTAACCTATTGTCTGTGGCCCCATTCGTGTTTCAGAGACACCATTGCGTAGCTGAGATAGAGACCAAATGGCTGGGAAAACATAGAATATTCAGGAAAAGGTTGTGAAACCCTGCTATAGTGTAATTATATTTTTCTGGCTGGATTTTGACTATTTTACTTTCATTTTCTTAGGAGTAAGAGAAGAGTGATGTAGGAATTCTCTTCACTACACTCTCTTGACATGAAAGTTGCAATTATGCTGGTTTTTAAGTGATACATGGAATAGCACAACCACCATATTTCTTATACTACAATGCTTAAAATTAAAAAAAGTTTACTGAATTAGTTCATTTTATTTGATATAACACTTTTTATATCCAACCATGAAACTTCTACTAATACATGAAATTATTTATATTATTCCTCTTCAGTGATATCTTTTTACTGATAAAACTAGTATAGCTACTATATTATGATATCTTTTTGGAAATACTAACTTTCTTACTTTTTTGTGTCTCTGCTTCTTCAAAGGTATAAGAAGTTTACCCAGATTTTGAGCAACATTGGCGAGAATGAAGGTGGAATTGATAAATTTTCCAGAGGCTATGAAACATTTGGTGTCCACAGAAGTGCTGATGGAGGCTTGTATTGCAAAGAATGGGCACCAGGAGCAGAAGGTGTTTTTCTTACTGGAGACTTCAGTAAGTATTTTGCAAGAACTGAAGACATTAGACTTTTATGAAGCATATGTATTTCATGCATATATATAACTATATGAAAATTAATGGTTCAATTAAATAACTGTATTTTCAGATAGGCCCATAAAATTTACTCAGTATTTGCCTTCATTTGGTACAGCTGTTTCTTTTATGATGTCATACATATTTTCCTGAAAAACTGTTTTTTCTACAATATTGTATACCAGAAAAAACAGGATAGGAGCAAAATCATGTTAGGAAGAGTGCTGTTAACGTACTTATCTTTGTTGGTAAGGACTGACAAAACCAAGAGCAATGTGGATCAAAATCTTGGCGTAGTTAGAGCCCCACTAGCTTTTGCACCTCACAAACTAGCAACAGTTATGCAGGGATTGCCTATTTTCTTTACACTATGGAAAACTCAAAGTTAGGTTTCTTAGCTCAGAGTCTAGTGAGGTAAAGCAGCTGTATAAATTACTATAATATAACCTGATAAGTTTTATTCTAGAAGGATAAATAAATGTACATGACATGATAAGGAAGAAAACCCAGGTTTGAAAGAGGAATAACTGGGTAAAATAGCATTGGTAAATATAAAGAATAAAAAACCAAAATGATAATTCTTTAACACCATAGAAGGGTATAGTATTTAAATTTTGATATTACCAGACTCAAAAGCTTACATTTTTTATTATCCCATTTTTATAACATTCCAGAAATGGCAAAACCATAGGGACAGAAAGTAGATCATTGTTATCATGGGCTAAAGGTTGAAAGTAAAGATTGAATGAGGAGTGTGAGGGATCTTTTTGGGGAGGTAAAAGTATTTTAAATCCTGTTTGTGGTGGTGGTTGATAAATATTGTATATATTTATCAAAATACATAGAAGCATTCACATAAAAAGAATGAATTATGCTGTTTGTAAATTATACTTCAAAGAACCTAATTTAACAGGAGCTGTACTGTTCAATAGAAATAAAATGTAAGCCACCAACATAATTTAAAATTTTAGTAGTGGCATTAAGAAAAGCGACATGACAAAGTTATTTTAAGGAGAGGATGGGGCAGAAGGAGAATAATTGAGGGAATGGACCAAACCAGAATACATTAAATGCATATATGGAAATGACACAATAAAACTCTGTGTACAGCTAATATATACTAACATAAACATTAAAAAAGTGGCATGAGAATAGTTGAGTGAATTTTCATAATCTTTAGCCAAATATACAATATTATTATCAAATTAACATATAATCAGTATTATTAATGAAGTGTTTTCATTCTTCTTGTGTACTATGTCTTTGAAATCTGGTTATTATCCTTTTGCAGATGCCAAATTTTCATGGGCAATACTTGACACATTTTTCAGTTTAATAAAATTTTCAGTTTAAGAGTAAGCTAACATACCTGTTTTTTTTTTTTAAACTTAATTAAAACTTCCAGGAGTTGACTTGAGTAATATTTTAAAATTTAAATTTAGTAAAATAATGAAAATAGAATAAAATATAAATTTCAGTTTCTTAGTTTCATTCCTTAATATCTTTTCAAGTGCTTAGTATGCATGTGTAGCTACTCACTCCTTTATTGGAAAGTTCATGTCTCTATGCAGTCACAAAAACAGGTGATTTAGATGCTTGTGTTTCTGGACAGTTATTGGAAAGCTTCATGGACAGCTTTGTGAGTATGAGATCTGATATTTTAGAATAGTGTGGCACAGTGATATCATCATTTGAGTTTAGTAGACTTCTCATTAAATTATTAAAATAATTTTTTTATACACAAACATTTCTTGTTTTTTGAAGGATGAGGACATAACCATATTTATTTAATGCTGTCAAAAAAGAGAGATGGTAGGGAACTGGTAAGGGAGAGTAATGGAAGGGGTTGAATGAACCAAAGTAAAGTATAATCACAGTGGGGTACATTGACAACCCCCTTGAACATTGACTTAGAAATTAATAATGAAAGACAGGGTTCTAAAATTCATACAGTGTTTGTGTGTTGGGGGTACTTGTGGGAGGGAGGATGATGAAGAGAGGATAGTAAGGTGATGGAACATGGTTGATGGATTTCATATATTTATATGAAATACAGCAATGGAACCTCTTGCAATTACTTAGAGTGGGATGGGGAGGGGGTCAAGGGAGAGAGATGGTGGTGCTTTCTACCAATGTACAGCATAATCCTATTTTGAATTATCACAATGAATTGTTATTAGGATATTTCTTTTTTTTTAAATTCATTTATTCATTTGTGCCTACATTGTTTGAGTCATATCTCCCCCACACCCCTCACCCTTTCCCTCTCCCCCCTGTCCTCCTTGCTTCCAGGCAGAGCCTGTTCTGCCCACTTATCCAATTTTGTTGAAGAGTAGACATAAGCAATAATAAGAAAGACATAGCATTTGTGCTAGTTTGAGATAAGGGTAGCTATGCAGAGAGATTCCTAGCATTACTTCCAAGCACATGTATACTGTAACCCACATTGGTTCTTTTCTACCAGACCTCTTCACTATTTCCTGGTCACCTTCCCATATTGACCTCTGTCATTTTAAGGTTACTATTTTAGCTCCTCTACAGTGGGCATATCAAATACTTCAAGTTTTGGGTTCTCCACCTTTCCCTATTCCTCCTGTACGTGTTCTCCACTCAGCGTGTGACCCATGTCCAATAATATTACTGCATTTTTTTTAGGTCTAAAATCCTCATATGAGGGAGAACATACGATTTTTGGTTTTCTGAGCCTGACTAGCATCACTTAAGATGATATTCTTCAGTTTCATCCATTTACTTGTGAATGATAAGATTTTATTCTTCTTCATAGCTGAGTAAAATTCCATTGTGTATAAATACCACATTTTCTTAATTCATTTGTCAGTAGTGGGGCATCTTGGCTGTATCCATACGTTGGCTATTGTGAATAGTGCTGCAATAAACATGGGTGTGCAGATGGCTTATGGAGTAACCTGAGTTACATTCCTTTGGATATATTCCTAGGAGTGGGATTGCTGGATCATATGGCAGATCTATGTTTAGTTTTTTTAACAAGCCTCCATATTGTTTTCCAGTGTGGCTCTACTAGCTTGCATTCCCAACAGGAGTGCATGAGGGTTCCTTTTTCCCCACATCTTTGTCAACATTTGTTGGTGGTGGTGTTTTTGATGACAGCTATTCTAATAGAAGTGAGGTGGAATCTTAGTGTGGTTTTGATTTGCATGTCCTTTATGGCCAAAGATGGTGAGCATTTTTTCATGTGTTTTTTGGGCATTTGGATTTCTTCTTTTAAAAAAGTTCTGTTTAGTTCAGTTGCCCATTTCTTTATTAGTTCGTTGATTTTGGGGGAGTTTTGTTTTTTGAACTCTTTGTATATTCTGGTTATTAGTTCTTTGATGTATAGCTAGCAAATACTTTCTCCCACTCTGTGAGTGATCTCTTCAGTTTAGAGACCATTTCTTTTGTTGTGCAGAAGCTTTTTAATTTCATGTAGTCCCATTTGTCCATCCTTTCTCTTAGTTGCTGAACTGCTGAGGTTCTATTGAGGAAGTCCTTGCTTATACCTATTGCTTCCACCATATTCCCTGCTCTTTTCTGTACTAGCTTCAGTGTTTCAAGTCTGATATTAAGGTCCTTGATCCATTTTGAGTTGATACTAGTACAAATTGATAAACATTGATCTAGTTTCAGTTTTCTGCAGGCAGATAATCACTTTTCCCAGCAACATTTGTTAAAGAGGCTATCTATTTTCCATTGTATGTTTTGGTACCTTTGTCGAAAATAAGGTGGGCATACCTGTGCAGATTCATATCTGGGTCCTCTGTTTGGTACTGGTCTTCATACCTGTTTTTTGTGCCAGTACCATGTTGTTTTTATTGCAATTGCTTTGTATTATAGTTTGAAGTCAGTTATTGCTCTTTTTGCTGAGTATTGCCTTGGCTATTTGTGGTCTCTTGTGGTTTCAAATGAACATTAGGGTTTATTTTTCAATCTTTGTGATGAATGTCATTGGAATTTTGATGAGAATTGTGTTGAACATATAGATTGCTTTTGGTAGTATAGCCATTTTTACTGTGTCAATTCTACCAATCCATGAGTATGGCAGGTTATTCCCCATTCTGAAGCCTTCCTCAATCTCTTTCTTCAGAGGTTTGTAGTTCTCCTCGTAGAGGTCATTCTTATCCTTTGTTACGTTTACTCCTAGATATTTGATTTTTTTGAGGCTATTGTAAATGGAATTGTTTCTATATAGTCTTTCTCAATCTGCTCATTGTTGGTATATAGAAAAGGTAATGATTTTTTGAAGTTTATTTTGTATCCTGCTACCTTCCTGAGGCTGTTTATGGTGTCTAGGAATATTTGGGTAGAGTTTTTTGGGTCTTTGAGGTATAGCATCATGTTGTCTGCAAATAGGGATATTTTGACAGTTTCTTTACCTATTTGTATTCCTTTTATTCCTTCTTCTTGCCTTATTGCTCTGGCTAGAAATTCCAGTACTATGTTGAATACGAGTGGGGATAGTGGGCACCCTTGTCTCGTTCCTGATTTTAGAGGGAATGGTTTCAGCTTTTCTCCATTAAGTATGATGTTGGCTATAGGTTTGTCATAAATAGCCTTTATAATGTTGAGATACATTCCTTCTATTCCTAGTTTTCTTAGAGCTTTTATCATGAAGTGGTATTGAATCTTATCAAAGGCTTTTTCTGCATCTATTGAGATGATCAAGTGGTTTTTGTCTTTGCAGCTATTAATGTGCTGTATTACATTTATAGATTAGTGTATGTTGAACCACCCCTGTATCCCTGGGATGAAGCCGACTTGGTCGTTGTGAATGATCATTCTGATATGTTGTTGGATTCAGTTTGCCATTTTTTATTGAGGATTTTTGCATTGATGTTCATTAAGGAGATTGGCCTATAGTTCTCCTTTTTTTGGAGGTGTCTTTGTCTAGTTTTGGGATGAGTGTAATACTGGCTTCATAAAATGAGTTAGGCAGTATTCCTTCC